TAATTTGCATTTCCTGGATAGTGAGTTGAGCGTTTTTTCATGATTGTTGGCTGTAATCTTCTAAATACAAGTCAGCCAACAAATGGATAAAGAAAATGTGGTGTATATACACCATGGGATACTACTCAGCCATAAAACAGAATGAAATAATGGCATCTGCAGCAACTTGGATAGAATTGGAGACCATTATTCTAAAAGTAACTCAGGAATGGAAAACCAAAATCGTATGTTCTCACTTATAAGTGAGAGCTAAGCTATGAGGATTCAAAGGCATAAGAATGATATAGTGGACTTTGGAGACTCAGGGTGAAAAAGTGTGGGAAGGACATGAAGGATAAAAGACTACAGTGTACACTGCTCGGGTGACAGGCACACTGAAATCTCAGAAATCACCGCTACAGAGTGTTTCCTTGTAAGCAAAAACCACCTGTTGCCCAAAAGCTATTGAACTAAAAAAAAAAAAAAAAAAAAAAAAAAAAAAAAAAAAAATTCTCTAATAAGACAAAATTTAATTTAAAAATATATATGAGTTCATAACCACAAAGTATGGAACATAGAGAAAGCATGTGGAAATATAGGGGTATTCTAAGTTAGCTATGAAAATACAAGTTGTTACAAAATCAGTGAAAAGAATGAGAACAATGGAAGGAAAATAAAAGGACCCTGAGATCCAAAGAGATACTAAATGGGAAAAAAGCATGCCCCACACTTCAGTGTGCCAAAACCCTTTAGAAAATGGATATTAGCAGAATATCTTATAAAAGAAAATTATAAATATGGGCATCCCCAAAAGATAAGTTGTAGTGGAAAACATGTTAGTAGTTTTCCACTTTCACAGTCAGAAGAAAAACATGAGAAAGCAAACTCCAGAGATTACAGACGTCACACCAAGGTGAGACATATAATTGGCGACATCAACGTGGCAATGGTTAGATAACTCCTGGACTAAAAACCTCAAAGAGGGGGCACAGGAAGGAAAGGTAATTCAAAGACATAGGTCGAAGCTGCAGAACCATAGTGTCTAATACGTAGCTGAGAATGGAGAACATGGGTCTGGAGAGCAGGTTTATACTATCGTGCTTCATCAATTAATTCCGTTCTGCAAACACTATTGAGTTCCTAGTATGTGTCAGGTATCATGCTAGGGGCTGTTGAGGGAAAAGGCATGAGTCAGACAGCCCCTGACTCACACAGTTCAGAGTACACTACAGCAAACAGGTGCATATACAAGCTAATCTATTACAAAACATTGCCATAAGAATTGTATGCGATGCACGAAGGTATGGGGTAGTAAAGAACGGTTTGCCATTAGAATACAGTACAAGGTTTAGGTTAACTCTAGAGTTAGAAAAGCCTTGAGTGCCAACTCTGTTTGAGTGGGTTATGCTTCTCTGAACAAATAACTTACACTCTCTAGACTGCAGTTTTCACATTTACACCAGAACAAGATGGATTGTGTGACTTCTATTAGTTCTAACTTTCTGAATTCGTGGTTGAGCTTCTTGGAGGTCAACTTATTTTATTTTATTTATTTTATTTCATTTTTGAGACTCTGTCTCACTCTGTCTCCCAGGCTGCAATGGCTCAATCTCAGCTCACTGCAACCTCTGCCTCCCAGGTTCAAGCAATTCTCCTGCCTCAGCCTCCCAAGTAGCCAGGATTACAGCCACCTGCCACCATGCCCAGCTGATTTTTATATTTTTTAGTAGAGATGGGGTTTCACCATGTTGGCCAGGCTGGTCTCTGAACTCCTGACCTCAGGTGATCCAACTGCCTCGGCCTCCCGTAGTGTTGGGATTACAGGTGTGAGCCACTAGGCCTGGCCTTGGAGGTCAACTTTTAAGCAATGAATTGAGACTGTAGAAGCAGGAAACTTGGGGGCAAGTATATTCTAAAAGCAAAAAACAGCATGAGCCAAGGCAATATGGAGCATAAGCTGGTATCAACAATGCATCCTGGAAATACAACCTGTGCTACCTACTATCTGGGGAATTTCACTAAGAACATAGAACATTCTAAATGAAAAAAAAAAAAAAGAAAAAGAAAAAGGATTGTTATAAACTTTTAAAATGTGTAAACATTTAAACACAATGGACAGAAGTTACAAAAATGTTCAGAGTAAAAAGAATGTACTGGTAACATTTAAATTAAATATAACGAGAAGCAAATCTTATTCTTCCAACAAATACGTGGATACATCTTTGTGTCATACAGCAGATGCAAAAATGTAGCTTCTATTTTAAAAAGTCTGAATGTCCATAAACCGTTCCCAAGATTTGTCTTTAACTTACATATTAAAGGAAAATTTCTTCTCTTGCATATTCAGAAAAGGTAAAGGTTATTATATTTAGAGAGAGGGGGAGAGAGGAAAAGAGTGAGAATTGGCAGAAATGCAAGAAAGAACCGAAATTTCAGAAAACAAAGGACTGAGTTATACCATATTCCAAACTGCTTTGGAGAAGCATTACTGAGCAGTGCGCTCACCCAGCCCGCCATCCGCCAGCCATCCAAATATATATGCATACATAAGAACACACAGACATACATTTGACCATATGCAACCATTCCTACTAAAAACACAGTAGCATAATATGAGCTATGAGGAACATAAGGACGAGTGAGAAACCATGTCTTGTTGCTTCAATGGGGAAGCAAAGCTTACATATATTCTTATAAGGGAAGCAGGGACGTATCACTGTAATATGGGGCTTGGTGCCACACATGCTGTGAATAGAAGGACAGGCAGCATCGCATGCTGGATACGGACAGCGGCCTCAGTTCAGAAACATACTCCTAACAAATCATAGAGAATGTCACCTCTTTTAAGCTTCCATTTCTTTATAAGAAAATAAAACAAACAAACCATTTTTTAGGGCTACCTAAGAAGGCAATAAAATAACTAATGAGAAAGCATTGAGCCTGGCATATACTACATGTTCAATACGGGACAGAATGCAAGCAGGGGCAGTAACAAATTTGGTGGTCACAGAATACCAAGCAGAAGTTTGGTAGTCATAGAATAAGTTGTGGAAACTCGGGGAAGGAAGTGATTACTTCTGATCTCGGCCACACCTAGACTTTTGGAGAAACTGATACGAATGGCATTTTGCCAGGTAACAGAAACGTATGCAGTGGCATGTTGAAAGTGAGGCCAAGGACTGTGCACTGCAGAGCATGTGAACAAATCACTTCGGTGTTCTAGAGAATAAGATAGTGGGTGCACCACACAGAGTACAGGCAGGGCATGTCAAATTCAGAATAAAGGAGTCTAAAGGGAGGCCGTTATATGCTTCTCTTCTTCCTATCTCATATATGCCATTTCTTAGCCCACTTAATGTAAGACCTGTCCTTGCCCTAATGCTCAGGCATATAACAACTCCCAGACCTACAAAGCTTTCCTCACACCTTTGCCTTCTACTCTGTAACTGGCCATGTCTCTCTTCTGTTCCTGTTAAAGGGAGGTCCACTGATGCTTTCCCCAAAAGTTAGGTGACAAAATAACAATGTCCCTAGTAAGCTGACAAAGGGAAACTTTGAAAACATAAATAAGGAAGCCAACGTACGGCTCCTCCTGTTCCTGTGAAGAGTGATTCTCTTCCAGATCCCATTCCCAAGCCCTGCAATCACTAAAGAAGGATGAGTCGAAGAAAACCAGTTCCACTAAGTGCCTGATGCATCGCAAAGATGCAGTCTCCTTCAAGGGTACTAAAACCTCATGGTGTCCTATAGAGATTAGTATAGCACAAAAGGCTTCATTTATTTTTCCAGAGCAGCTTTGTGCAGGTCTCCTTGTTGCACTTTCTGAGGAAAAGGATACCCGAAGACACACAGCTGCAGCCTAGCCATGTATGCGGAAGCCTGAGGCATCCTACCACCCAGCCGAGGTGTCCGGTCATGTCACACAAGCTAGACATCTGAACTAGGCTTCTGGCCTCAGACCCAAAACACCAATAAAGTGTTTACTGCGAGTGGGAGAGGACTGGGAAGAAAAGCGGAGGACTGGACTGTAACACAGAGTGTGAAACACTCACATGCAATATTGATAAAACAAACACTCATATCATCCAAGAAGCAACTGGTAACATCATGGAGAGGGTAAAATATTAATAATTTTTTAAATAGTGGGACAGAGACAGAAAACAAAGAAAGACGAGCTAAATCTCCTTTCACTGCCTCTTCTCTATTAGCTCCTAGAAGTCTAATATTCTTCAGTTTTTTAACTGTAAGTTAGTGTTTCTTGAATTTGAATGAGCTGCTGACATTCATTGGTATAAATATGTAACCTTTTCAACCAAACAGTATGGGACTATTTACACTGACCCTGAGGCTTCGTGTGTGAGTGTATACACACAAATACATAGAGAGCTGGAGCTCACACAGACCTTCAAACGCTACTTGATGTAAACTGAATGCATTGTTATTAAACCGCCTAAAACTAGGCGTTACTCAAATTTGTCTGTGAGCTTCGGCAAATGCAGATCTCACAGAACTCTCTAGACAACTTTATCCTTCAGCAGCCTAAGGGAAGAAAAACAGCCAGAGGAGATAAAACAATTCCATGCACTTCATTAGGTGTGCTTTGTGTAAGTTTCTGATTGGACTACTGCTTGGCAGCATTTGCAGACACTTGTCTAAGGGCAAGAGGGAGGGACCGTTGTCTGGTAGGCACAACCTTACAAGAGAATGTGCTGGAGGTGGAAGATAATGCAGCAGAAAGGCACTGAGCTGTGACTGAAGAGGTCAGATTTCTAGTTTGGGCTCTAACCCTATTTCACTATGTAACCATGGCCATATAGTCCAAAAAAGTATTTTTCCTAAAAGAAGGGGCTGGTCTAGGCCATTTCCAGGGGCTCCTTGACTTTTAGTAGCCTATAAACTATGATAACCACACTGTGAATTCACAAACTACCTTTTTCTGACACGACATGGTACTACAAATCACCTACATAACATTGAACTTTCCTACTCCAAGTATCCGCCTCTGAAATCCCAGCACTTACCCTCACTTCCAGGTTGCTTGTATGGGTTGTACTTAGGTTTTGGAGCAACTACGGGTGCAAACTTTTTGGGTGGCTGTTGTGTAGACACTGAAATGCTGGGGTTCCCAAAGGAATGGGTGGTCTCCATCCGTGCAGGCACATGGCCGAGGGGCTCACCAGTGCTTTTGGGTGGCAGCCAAGATGGGTGAGACATGGTTGGAATCTGTGATTAAAAAAAACAAACACTGTTTGCATAAAAGCATGAACACAGAGAAAATATACCTCACTTCATTGCTATTTTACCTTAATCCATACTAAATGAATCTCGATAAAGCTCTCTGGAGAGAAGGAAGAAAGAAAATGGAAGTAGTAAAAATGAAGAGGCAGAGGAATCACCAGCAGGAAGAGGAGGAGGAAGAGGAGGAAGAGGAGGAAAAGGAGAAAGAGAAAGAGGAGGAAGAAGGTGGGGGAGGAGGAGGAGGAAGAGAACACTCCCCCAAACTTGAATATCTCCCTTCCAATAGTGACCGATTTTAGTACCTAGCACTCTTGGGAAATAGATATGAATAAGAAATGCTTTGTAACTTGAAGGAGGTTCTAGAGTAGGAGGATGGAAAAGAGCTTCAATTTTATTAATAATCTATTAAAGTAATTATCTCACCAATTAAATGGTTCTACCTAAAGGAAGTGCTACGTTACCTAAGTGAGGTTAAAAACAAGTGTGGCAGAGATGCAGAAAAAGATAGGCTCACTTCTTGGTGGGGGCAGAATTAACAAGATTTTACTGATGAGGTGATATACAGACTGGGTTTGAGTGCTGAGTAGGGTTTGAGCCTGAAAAACATTAGCAAAATTATACAGGCAGAAAAGTTCACAGTACTTAGGTTTAGTGTTCTTGGAGGGGGAATAACGGAAAGCACCAAGCAAAAGAACTAAAAGCTGGATTGAAACCAAAGCACAGACAGCATAGTAGCCACACTTGAGTTTAAACTTATTCTTCAGGCATTAAGGAACCACCAAAAGTTCATTTTCGAAACACAGGCTTAACAGATACCTAGCAGGACACTTTTAAATGATCCATCCACAGGGGCAACTCTGGTCTCCACCAAGGAGCATGTGGAAAAGGGGAGGAGGGGCACACAGGTTGCCCCAATGTCTGGGACAGTTATTAGAATTTAGGGCCAGAGGATAGAATATTCAACACATGTCATGCAAAGGTCAGCCCTGAACAACAATGAAATGCCCATGAACATCTATGCTGACCTGATACCATACTGGATCTTCATGAAGAGCTTAGTTAAAGTAGGAGGGGAACAATCAGATCGGCCCAGCCCAGCCCAGCCCAGCCCAGCCCAGCCCAGATGCTGTTCTGATCAGATTGCATATACTATTTGAAGAAAGGAAATGTCTCCTCTGTCAGCATAAGCCAATCACCTCTCCAGTCAGCCTGCCTGCTGGGGATGAGCCTCACAGGCTGCTGTTGAGGAGGGCTCTCCAAGCCTGATTGCAAGAGCTCTCCAGCACAGGGACACCCGGAAGGCACCCTGCACCAGCCCCCAGCCCCAAAGCCACCTACTAATTTATTAATTGATCTGAATTAATTAAGAGGGCTAACATGATTACCTCCAGATGTCTGTAAAGACAAAGAGCATTGGAACACAAAAAAATCAAAGGCCTCAGTACCTGGCATAGTCATAGAGAGAGACAGGGTGGAGGGGGGAGCTGGGAAATAGTGTGCCTGGATATTAACTTAATCAGTCCACACCACAGACAAGTGGTGTGACTTTGAAGAGCACTCCTCTAGAGCCTCAGATCATTTCACTCTCTCAGAGAACTCAGCCAAACAGAGTGGCTCACACCTCTAATCCCAGCACTTTGGAGGCCAAGGCTGAAGGATCACTTGAGGCCAGGAGTTCAAGACCAGCTTAGACAATAGATTGAGACTCTGTCTCTACAAAAAAAAATTTAAAAATTAGCTTGATGTGTGGTGCACACCTACTGTTCCAGCTATTCGGGAGGCTGAGGTTGAAGGATCACTTGAGTCTGGGAGACAGAGGCTGCAGTAAGCTGTGATTGCACCACTGCACTCCAGCCTGGGTGACAGAGGGAGACATTGCCTCAAAAAACAAACCAACCTCTGTCTTCCTTAGCTCTCAGAATTTTTATGGGAACCAATGAGATGATATTAAAGTACTTTGTATAATACAAAGTGCTATGCAAAGTGAGAAAAAAAGGATGCCTCTATTCTTATAGAAAGTCAATGGCAATTTTGTGACTATCTTGCTTGGAAGAACAGCTTGATGTGTAGTTTTCTTAAAAGAAGAGGAGAACATTAATCAATGACAAAGACTCTAAACTGGGAACCAGGACACATGCTGTTGAAGCCAGCGATGATGGTACTGGCTTTTCACTCTGGTTACAGGATCTTTCTTTTCTTTTCCTTCACTTGTACCTTTTACATTTTCATATGTATACACAAATACATACGTGTATACACACACACACACACACACACACACACACACACACAAAGAGACACATATGCTTGCTAAACTGTGAGTTTCTTAAAAGGGCAAGTACCATATTTTACACATTTATAAACTACCATTAAGGACTAGCATAAAACCAATATAGAAAAACAAGATTTTACTGATGAGGTGATACACAGACTGGGTTTGAGTGCTGAGCAGGGTTTGAGCCTGAAAAACATGAATGTGTTTTACTCATGGGTCTTAAATTTAGCTGCACATTTGGAATAACTTGAGATGATTTTTTTTCTAAATACCAAAACCAAACCCATCTCACAGGGTTGAGAGATGCCAATTTTGGTTTTGCTTTTGCTTTTAATTGAGGTGTGGTCTTCTACTAAATTGGGATAAAAGTGATAAAAGTGACTGGTTTGCTTGCAGTATGACTAAAGTGAATGTAAGTGTGAAATAAAAGGGATCAAGTACAGGTTTGAAACTTTTAATGCACTGTGCCCATTTGTAGTATCAGTTTTAATTATAATTTTTAAATGGCTTAATACTGTCCTTGGAAGGTCTCTATAAATCTAAGGTTATTTTATAATGAAAGGTTTTAAAATTGGTTAATATAGGATGCAGCAGTTTCTTAAGCAAAGATGCACATTTTCGCAGCAATCTCAAGTTACTGACTTTACCATCTTGGCTTTTCAGCTATAACGTAAAGAAATAGGCAATTTCTGGGAGAGTATAAATAAAATTTAAGCATCATATGCAAGTCATTGGTTCCACAGTCATTTCAGTTATGCCCAGTGTCATCAATTACCTGGACACTTCCCTCCATGAAGAAGCACCTCCTCCTGCTCCTCCTGAGAGGCCCAGGTTCTGACTGATCATTTGTTTGCAGATGACCTTTTCAGCATCTTCTCTTACCATTCCTCTACGTGTCAGCAGTGATCCAGTGACACCATTTCCAGGATTTATAATAAACTTTCATGATTCTGAACCCTTGCTCATGCTGTGTTCACTACCAACAATGCCATTTCCCTCTCTTCACTTTCTACCAAGCCCTACATTTTTATATTGTCCCAGCTCAAATGTCTCTAACTCTGTGAATATTTCTCTAACTCTTCCAAAGAAGAGTAGCTTAATTCCTTTTTCTGGGCTCTTTAGTACTTTCTGCATACTTATTACAGTCCACAAGGAAGTCATTTAATTCACCTGCCTACTTGTTTCAACAAGCCAGAAACTCCAAGTAGTCTCACTATACTGGCATGATCCCTAGGCAAGAAGTCCTTACACAAATATCTTACACCGAAATGGGTGAATGAATGAATATTACTCTTTCTTAGTTACTCATATCTTTCTAGAATTGCTAAAGCAATCGCTAATACAATCACCTCTTTTTTCTTCCCTTAACTTGGTGATGTAATAGAGCATGCTGATAAGATTTCCAGATATTGAACCATCTTTGCGTTTGTGGAATAAATCCCATCTAGTCACAGCTGCAGTGCCCTCTTTAACAACCACTCAAACAATCATCTCTTTTTCCCTCCCTTAATTTGATGATGTAATAAAATATGTTGATAAAGTTCCAGATATTGAACCATCTTTGCATTCCTAGAATAAATTCTTTAGTACAGTTGTGTTTTGATATATTAACAAATAAACTATGCTATTTTGTTTATAATTTGTGTACATATAATCATAAGAAAGACCATTTTATTGCATTTTCTCTGCTTGTTTTACTTAATTAGGTTTTGATAGGAGGGTTTTCTCCAACCTCCTCTACTGTCTAGGTTATTTAATAACTACATTGGAATTATCTGATTTTTAAAGGTTTATAAAAATGAAGCATAAAGTCATCTAAATATATCTTCGTTTAACAGACATTAATCAGATTTCCAGTAATGTCTATGACAGTAGTACCAGTTTTCTATTATTCTGAGGTCATTTTGCATTACTTTTCTGCCAGAAATTCACCATTTTTTTCCTAGGTTTTATCTCTGCTATCTCTTAACCAAGCTACTACTTGTCTAAAAATGACTTCCAACTTTCTGTGCCTCAATTTAGATCATAAGCATACTTTCCATTAGTCCTTAAAGGCAAATCTTGCACTATATCCTACAGTTCAAGTTATATATCCTTATAATACCATTCCACAGCATGTACATACCGCTGTCATACATTGATCACATGGTACTCTGCCTGTCTCCTTGCCTGTATCCCAAACTAAGCTCTCAAATGCTTAAGAGTAGAAATACTTATCATTTATTATCCTAGGGCCTACACATGATAGGTACTCAATAAAAATGCCTGTTAATTTAATTAATGAACGAATTTATTTGCCTGGCACTGGAGCTATAGATGAATCAGATTCTTACTCTTTACTCAAAGAGCTCAAAGCCTATTTGAGGAAGAAATATTTATAAATGTGAAAAGAGAAAGAGAGCAACACAGAAAGCACATGAAAAATGTTGGGGGATGTCAGAAAAGCTAGCATAAGCTTGGCAGAGGTAGCCTTTAACCAGGACTTTGAAAGCTGAGTGAATAAAAGAAAACTGAGTAACAAGGGCAAAGATTAGAAATAATAATGTGAGCTCAGGTATGAAGCAAGACATTTCTGTAAGACAGGGATCAGACCAGTGGTACCAAAATGAGTGATTCAGGGAGAACAGTTAGGGGAAAGTTTTAAAAGATAACGTGAGTCCTGACTTTTAAAGGTCTTATATAAAGATAAGAAACTAGATATTTTATCCTT